GGTTTCCCCCCCCCCCCCCCTTATCTCAGTTATTTGAAGTCATTGAACCATTTGGGTAGAATGGTCAAAACTCTGATTTTGAGCCTGGCTTCCTTCTGCTGTCTTCCTTTCAGACAGATAAGGTCTGGAAAATCTTCAGTCAACTGAACAGTTATACAGGATGGTCTATGATTCAGCAAAGCTGATTTTGTGCCCCTCATTCTTCCATTGACACTAAGTTGTCTCAACTCCATCATTGGCATAATTTTGTTTCAAGGAGGTATTTGGTCATTATTAGCAGACAGAATAAAATCCAGTAATGGACTGTGAACAGAGCTCCTTGGTATAAATTAATCCCACCACCTGATGTGTTGATATATGTATCTGTCTATTATTTTTACAAGTCAGGATTTCTATTTTTGCATTTGAATAAACTGATCCAGAAAGTGAATTAATTAATTCTTGAGAAGAAATACATTGATTAGGTGCATGAAGTATGTTGGTCTGTTGTGAGATTGTTTTAAGTCTATGAAAGTGGGGGGTTTTTAATCAAATATTTCACAATACATGCAAATTTTAATGAGTGATGTGTCTTAGAGAAATGTAATGTAGTCATCACTACATGAAGTGTGTCAGCTAATTTCACATCAGTGATTATTGGAGCTGTGATAGCACCAACTTCAATGTGGTTGTGTCAAACAGAATTCCATTATTGTCAAAAATAATGTAATGAGAGTTTAAGGACCAAGGGTTGTGAGGTCACTGGTAATCTATCTCCATTGACTTCAGCTGGTTACAGACAAAACTGGCATTTTTTATCATTAGACATTTTTATCATCTGAAGTCTAAACTACCTTTATGACATTAGTTCTGAATGCTTGGAAAGCCTTTTGTAGATAATATGAAGTTGTGGGGGTTTTACCCCAGGTTTTACCCCAAGTTGTGGGTTTTTTTTTTTAAAAAAAAAAAAGCAAAAGAGTTGATAGATATCTGTTTGGGATTAATGGATTTAAAATAAGTCTGTAACATGTACTGGAAGAAGCCTGACAAGACACTAAATTCTCTGTTTATGAGGTGGCAAAGACATATGTATTCTAATAAATATGAATTACAGCTTAAATATATTCTACAAACGCTTTCTACCTTTCCTGTCCTTACTTTAAAGAAGGCATTTTCTTACTGTTGCAACAGTTCTCATTGTTTTCCCAAATCATTCCACACAGAAGGAAGACCTACTTCCCTGTCATTAATGCATTTGTATTAGATACACTTTTAAGCTAAGTAATTCAAATCAGCAATTTTAGTTTATTTTTTTTTGCTAAATAACACCTTTGTAAAATTTGGAAAGGTTTTTCTGTAAAAGTACTTGTCTAAATTTACTTTGTCAGAAATTGAATTGTCTTTAAAATGAAATAAATGTTGGTGTCTTGATCTCTACACACAAGTATATGTTTGAGGAGAAAACTGTACTTTTGCCACACTGAAAAATCAGAATTTATCTCTAATAAGCATTTCATTGAGACACAAATATGTGAATTATTTTTTTAGTTAGCTACCTAAGCAACATGTTCTCTTTGAGATCACTTTTGTGTTTCAGGATTATCTAATAAACTGAGTATTTCTGGAGATTTAGGAATGACATAAGGTAGGATCTGGAATTTTAGAGATTAATCTTGAGTCACTCATGGTGCAAATCTGCAAAACCCCTATATGTGGCCAGATTCAGTATGCATGCATTTTGGATTGCCTTCTGTCCTCTCACAAGGGAGTCACAAATCAGGTTGTTGCAGGTGCTCAACAATAAAGCAGAAGTTATAGAGAAAAGGTTGCTTTGATTCTTACACCACTGTGGTGGTTCCTACAGAGATCATTTAATGACACGAACCTAAAGGAAATATCTTGGTTGGTCCCTGTAAGCTGTGTATTTGGCTATAAAGCATTTAAACGTGTGAAATTAAGATGAATAAAATGGTTGTACTAGTTATATTGGAATAAGACAAGCTCTGTAGTAGAATGGCAGTATAGTACTTGGACTACAGAGCCCATATTTCCGGTGTGACAGGTAATTTCACACTTCCAGAAAACTGGATGTAGCAATTCCAAAGTATAAAAGGGATGGGAACTAAATAAATATTTTGATCCAGTATTTTGAAAATATATATCAGTGCTATATACATACATAGGTCTGTATATATATATATCTAGAGAGAGAGAGAGAGAGAGATCTGTAGACGTGAACAAGGGATGGCAAGGAAAGAAGGAAAGGCTACCATAAGAGTACAGTCCTTCCTAATCTCCAGAAAAGTATGCCAGAATTGTCTGTTTGACAACAAGGCTTTGATGTCTTGAACTCAAGGGAGAAGATCCTCCAACACTGTAAATTGCTATCGCTTTTCTGAAATCATTCAAGGAGCAAAGGATCTGCTCCAGAGATTCTTCCACAATAGAGTTAGGAAAGAGTATGATGTCTTTCACATAATAACTGCAAATAACAGAAGTTCGAATGGGAACAGATTTATCAAGGTGTTCCTGTGCAAAATAAGCTTTTCCCAGTGCTCTGTCTAAAATGCTTTGTCCAGTATGCTGACACCTCTGTTAGTAAACCAGAAGTCCAGTCATTATATTCCCCTTCATTCTAAAAAAGCTGAGTAAGAGGTTGGTGATAGGTATGTTATTTTCTTCATCGGTAAGATTGGTATTTATTTTTGAACATTTTTTTGGTTAACTGCTGCTGCAGTAACCAGTGCTGCAGAGGGAGTACAAAATATTGTTGATTCCTGCTTCATAAAATAGTTGCTTTAGAAAGATTTCTTGCTAGGCTTTGTAATACAAAATGAGCTGAAATTCAGGCTGGGAGGCTGGAGTGGACAGGAGGGTATATTACACTAGACTTTCTTCTCAGAAACCTCAAAAGAGGAACTGAGGGACTGAACAAATTACACTGATCTCTTGAAGTCAGCTTTAAGTTAGAAAAGAGCATGTTGCTTGTTACTAAAGAAGCTTTCAAACTGTGCTAAGTAAAAGATTTCAAATAATGGGGAACTTTATTCTCAGCTAAATTAGTTGCAAAAGTTTTGATAGGTGAATTTTATTTCCAAAGGTGCAGTGACCATCTCCAGGACTTGAACCCACTAAGTCTTAAGGTATGTTATTTATACTTTCCGTAGTAAAAAAACTTGATCTGAATATGTCTTGTGTTACTGTTTACAGTTGTGTGGCATGAAAGTTAAAGGTGAAATGGTTTTAGTCTTATTGTTTACAAATATTAGGATTTTGGGTTTGTACAAGGAAGACCTGAGATGTATATTGTGTTCTGGTTGACCATGGCAAGCTGATCACAGGTTATATATCTCACCATTCTTAAATGCATAGAACAGTTTTGTTCTGTTTTGTGACTTCCACTCTTAAAACATGAAAAGGAAAAAAAAAAAGTAGTGCAATCTCTGCATTATTTTATTAAGCTTTTTGGCATTGAACATTAGTTTTGAGAGAATGTACATCAAAGCTCAAGTTCCTACAACTCATTATCTTAGAACTTTAGCTTTCCATTTTATATAAAATGAGGCTCTAGATCCAAGACTATCAAGGAAAAAAAAAAAAAAAAAAAAAAAAAAAAAAAAAAAAAAAAGGAATTTCAGAGACGCAGGAATTAGCATATAAAAATGCAGCAATTTTTGAAATCAAAATTATCCTCCTCATTTTTAGTATTTGAATTTATGGTTGCTGGTGCTCTTCATTCATGTTTGCAGTTTCTTGGGCACTGTGAGGGGCTAGAGAGGTTAGACAGCACACATGCATGCAGCTGGAGAATTAATCAGTGAATTATTCGCTGTTATATTATCCTGCAGGTATGCTTGCTACACACTTCCATGCTTCAAGGCATGAAAAGACTTTTGAGGAATCCCTGCCCTTTTCAGCCCATGCTAGATTTATTGCCAAAGGTCTCCCCCTTTCTTTATATGTATGTTACCAGGTCTCTTCTGGTAGTCTCATCATAGTCAGAAATACTAAATGTTCATGCTTAGAGCTTTTGTTCATGCAGTATCTCCGGTGGGACTGGGCTGTGTCACAACTGTTACATGAAGCAAAAGATTTACACACATATAGGTAATATGCTTTGTTCATGACCCACTGGAGTTGCTGCTAGTGTTCAGAGCAATTGACTGCTGCTCTGATGCACCTCACCTCAGCCACTTTAAAGAAAATCTGATTCCATTGCACCAACAGGCAGTGAACCAAACAACAGTAAAAATAGCCAGGTCAGTCAGTTGTAACACTTTTCATGCAGCAGTGCTAATCAGAAAAGTTCCTGTCTCCAGTGTTGCTACCTAATAGAACTAGTTGGCATGCTACTCTTACCTTCAGATTAACTTCTGATAACTGCTAGAAACATGATTTCAGTGGTTTCAGGCCAGTTCTCAGTAGATGACTATCCTGGTAATTTTGATTTGATTAACGTGTTTTGCTGGATGGTCAGGGAGGACAGAAGTCAAACAAGTTGTGGGGAAGGAACAGCCATGTTACTCGCAGGACTGCAGATTCTGCCGTGCAACAATTAGCTGGTGTCAAGTCTCCCAAACCAATAACCAGGACTGCAAAGGCAAATGATGCTCCTAAAACAGTTGAAACTTGCAGCCTATAGCCTTTTCATCTAATGCTAGAAACTGATCTGTGAGCACACATATACTATAGCAGCCTATAAATATGTTATCGGTACAACACTGAATTTTGTTTTACCCCACACCATAGCTTCAAAAAGTCCCCCAAACCTATAAGGAGATACTTTCTTTTCTGAAAATACCCACTGTTTGTTCTACCACCTTTCCACTTTCTTCTTTGGTTTTGTTGCTACTTCTGAAATCACCTCTGACACAAACTCATTGAAAGGACTGAAAATCCCATAACAACATTTAAAACAAGTCATCAGATCTAATATTATATTCATTGCATCTGTGTTCTTTTCTCTCCACTATCTCTTTCCCCATCCTTTGCCTGTGCTCTTGATTGAAATGGTAAACCCTTGGGTCAGTTAGTGTCTTATGCATTTATATGGTGTGGTACATCAATATACTCCTCTGATACTGTCCTCTTTTTCCATTAGCACTACTGAAAAATACATGATAAATAACAGGGGGAGCTCTGAGTATCTCCCCACCTGGAGTATTCTCTCCAGAGCCAGCCAAAAAGCAGTTCCTCACATCCCTTATTTCTTCTTTGAGACCAAGGCATAGTCATGACATTGCAAAAAAAGACTAGCAAAATGCTAATAAATACACCAAATAGCAGTGTAATTCTCAAACCTTAGCAGGATTCGAGGCCATCACAGAGCCTAAGCTGCCAAGTAAGAGAGGGCAGACTGCTGTCACCAGTGATATTATAAAGCCTCTCAATATGTGGAAATTAGGTTCTGCTTCAGTCACAGACACCTGAAAAAAAAGAGAGTGCAAAATGTAACCCCTTCATTTATTAATTTTGTTTTCATTATGGTGGAAATGCCACAGAAGGTGTAGGCTTGTCGTGAGTGCTTTTCTTGTTTGATTTTGCTAGCTCCCCTTAAGTAGCACACTGTCAGGGATTTCTTCTGTGGGACTGTGTTTTTAAAAGTATTCTCCAGCCTTTAGCTTTACTCTCTCTCCTGTGTTGTTATCTCAGTTCACTTTCAACAATTGGACTGCAGTAATAGTAAAAATGAACAAGTAGAGAATTAAATTGATGTTAAATATTAAACCTGTCTACGTAAATAGAGCTGGGGGAGGGCTGGATATAATGACATGTTCTTCTTGTGCAGATTCTTTATTTAAATGCCAGTTTTGCTGAATGTCTGTGACTTCAAAAGTCAGTTAATATTATTGCACTGAAACACTGTCTTAGCAGAGTAGAGAAAAAATAAGCTTTCTTCTGCTATAAAACAATATGTTCTTATAAAATGATTACACTGATACATTTCAAGGTACTGTGAAGTAAGCAAAAGCTGTTAATGTTTTTTTTTTCATTGTTTCAATCATTTTATAGGATTTCACAGAATTGCAGAGTGGTTCAGGCTGGCAGGCATCTCTGCAGATAGTCTAGTTAAGTGCTTCTGCTCAAAACAGAATCAGCTAGAGTAGGTTGCTTAGGCCCAAGGATGGAGAGAGACTCCACAGTCTCTGGGCAACCCACTCCAGTGTTCAACCAACATCACAGTAAAAAATGTTTTCTCATGTTCAAGCAGAATTTAATGTATTTTAGTTTGAGGTTGTTGCCTCTTGCCTTGCCACTGGGCACCACTGAGAAGAGTTTAACTCCACCTTCTTCATTCCCTCCTGATGTGTGTTTATAGACATTGATAAGATTCCCCCGGAGCCTTTTTTCTGTCCAAACTGAACAGACCCAGCTCTGTCAGCCACTCCTCATATGAGACATGCTCAGGTCCCTCATCTTTGTGGCCCTGTGCTAGAGTTGCTCCAGTACGCTTCCTGTCTCTTGTACTGAAGAGGGCTGAGCTGGGCCCAGCACTCCATGTGTGTGTCGCCAGGTCTGAGCAGAGGGGAAGGATCAACTCCCTCAACCTGCAGGCAACACCCCTCCTAATGCAACCCCCTTCCTTGGCTGCAAAGGGCACTGTGCGGGCTTATGGTCAGCTTGTCTTCCAGGAACTCCAGGCTCCTCTCAGTAGAGCTGCTTTCCAGAGCCCCCACCATGTACTGGTGCATTCCTCCCCAAGAGCAGAGTTTTGCATTTCCATCTGTTGAACTTTGTGAGGTTCCGCTTGAGCCATTGCTTCAGCCTGTTGAGTCCCCTCTAAATGGTAGCACATCCATCTGTTGTATTAAACAATTCTTCCTAGTTTATATCATCTTCACATTACTGAGGGTGTACTCTTGTCCATTGTCCAGTTCTTCACAACTGGGTTGAATAGTGTTGGCCGTGAGGTGAACCACTAGTGAATGGCCTTCTCCTGGAATTTTGCCCACTGTTCATAACCCTTTGAGTCCAGCAAGTTAGATAATTTTCAGTCCACCTTGCTATGCATTTATCTAACCTGTTCTTACCAGTTTGTATATGACGATATTATGGGAAACAGTAATTAAAACCTTACTGAAGTTGAGGAAAACAGCATCCACTGCTCTCCCTTCATCCACCAAGCTCATCATCCCATCATAGAATGCTATCAAGTTGTTAAGCACAGTTTCCCCTTCATAAGCTGTGGTGACTATTCTCAGTCAACTTCTTGTCATTTATGGACTTGGAAAGGATTTCCAGGATGAGATGCTTCATCTGCTTGTAGTTCCTTAGATATTCTTTCTTACCCATCTTGAAGTTAGGGGTGACATTTACATTCTCATACTCCTCACAAAACTCTTCTGGGAACATCCTGTCAGGGTCCTTGGACTTGTATAAGGCTAGGCTTTTTAAGTTTCCCAAACATGGTTCTCTTCCACCAAGGGTAAGTCTTCATTGCTCCAGCATTCCCTCTGGTCTCAGGGATTTGGGATTCATGAAGGTTTCTCTTGACACCAAAGAACGAGATGAAAAAGGCACCAAGTCAGACTTTTCTGTGTCCTTGGTCATGAGACCCCCTTCCCCATTTGGAGGTAGTCCCACACTTTCCCTAGTCTTGCATTTACTGCTGATCTACTTGTAGAAGCCTTTTTTATTGCCCTTCTTATCCCTTGACAGGCTCAACTCCAGATGGGCTTTGGCTGTCCTCACCCTATTCTTGCAACTTCTGACAGTGTCCCTGCTTCCAACTCCTGCATGCTTCCTTTTTATGTTTTCTTTTAGTCAGGAATTCATCTACTGAGGCCTCATGAAACCTTTTTTTGTCTTCTGTATGTGGCAATGGATGACCCCAAGAGGAGGTGACCCTGGAAAATCAATCAGCTTTTTCCCTGAAAAGTGAGTAAAATACAGATAGTGAACACAAATGGATCCACTACAATAACTCTTGAGAAGATGACAAGCAATGTAATTTCTAAACAATCAATTAACTGGTTGGATTTTACTGTTCACACTAATCTAAATTTCATTTATGAGCTTCCCCGATCCAAATCTCTGGCTTAGATATTGAGACAAAAAATTACTGTCAAGCAGTGGATATTATCAGTGTTGAGTCCTTCCTCTTCTAGAAAATGATACCTTGTTGAGCTGTCATATCAACTTTTTTTCAGCATCTAGTATTTCAGCACAGAATTTGTGTCCAATGACTGGCCAAATTTTTCTTAGACATCCCAGACACTATACACAGAAATGACATCATAGTTTGCTCAATTCTTCTTTCCATTCCCCCATTTTGTGTTGAATCTTAATTAAATTTATTTTATATAAATCTTGTTGAATTCTTGTCACACTGTTTCTCTTTGTTGCTCAGTATTCTTTCCCCAATACCTGAAATTTCTCTGCGGACCTCACCTCCTTTTATTCCTGCTGAATTTTGTTAGTACCTTTTTGCTCTCTTGATTTTCATGGTGGATCTGGCCTATGAAACAGGATTGACAGGTGTTGTAATTTAACCCCCACAGGCAACTAAGCACCCCACAGCCACACATTCATGCCACCCTGGTGGGGTGGGGGGAGAATTGGAAGGGTAAAAGTGAGAAAACTTGTGGGTTGAGATAAAGACAATTTAATAGGTAAAGCAAAAGCCATGCAGGCAAGTAAGTCAGAACAAGAAATTCATTCACCACTTCCCACCATTAGGCAGGTGCTAAGCCAGGAAAGCAGGGCTCCATCACGTGGAACATTAACTTTGGAAGACAAATGTTGTAACTCTGAAGGTCCCCCCTTCTTTCACCAGCTTTTTCATTACTGAGTATGACATCATATGATATGGAATATCCCTTTGGTCAGCTGGGGTCAGCTGTCCTGGCTGTATCCCCTCAGAGCTTCCTCTGCACCCCCAGCCTCCTCACTGGTGGGGTGGTGTGAGGAGCAGAAATGGCCTTGACTCTGTGTGAGCACTACCCAGCAGTAATGAAAACACCTCTGTATTATCAACTCAGTTTTCAGCACACATCCAAAACATAGCCCATAGTAGCTACTGTGAATAAACTTAACTCTATCCCAGCCAAAACCAGCACAACAGGGGAACTAATCAAACACAGCTTTTCCTTCACGTTATTTTTTTTCAACAATGTCTTCACAGCTAAGTTATTTACAAGAGAACATGCAAAGCCACCAGTTGCCACGTTTGACTTTCGTCCTTAAATTCTGTTGACAACTGTCAACCAGTGATTGCCTTGTACACAGTTTGCTCCATATTTTTTGTCTCTTTCTGTAGGTGAGCGTACACCGTTTTTAAAGCACTGACCTATGTTTCACACTCAGGTAGGGTGAAAGGAGGCTTTGGACCATTCTGAAGGAGGAATCTTGTTCTGTGGTATCCTGAAGTAACAAATGATCTTGCTTTGTCTGCGCAGATGTGTGAACTGGGGTTAGCATATTTGCAGGACTTTTGCCTGTTCCATCGTCTTTGGTATTTAAAGAAAAGTAGAACTCATTGGCTTAGGTCTTTTTTATAACTCCAAGTTGTCCTAGTTTTAAGGAGTTTTCTTTTTCTTCAGAGAAGTGATTGGCCAAGATCAGACATAAATTCTTCTCTTAATAACAAACCCCATATATTCTGCCTCCATTTCAGTCCAGTTTCCCTTATTCTGACTCAGGAATACCCCCTGCCTATGTTATTAGCAAATTCTAGTTTCTGGAGATCTTGTCCTTTATCCAGCTGATTTATCCCTTGATCTTATTACCTTGTCTTTCTCAGTTGCATTAAAGATCAAAGTTGTTTCAATTTGGTCATACAAATCCTTATGCATCCAAATCTAAAATCTCAGCTGGTTGCTCTCTTTACAGTGTAAGAAGCAAAAATATCATGCAAATATTGAGGAATATCTGAAGTATGTAACTTCAGCCATACCCAGTCTGACATATCTTGGGAATTTCATGACAACAATTGAATAGAACTTTTCCATTGTCTTTCTGGAAGCTATTAATGAAAGCTTTACTTCTTGTTTAGACTGCTTTATGTGTGTGTCTATGATATTACACTGAGGGAAAACTGTCTTGCTGCCCCATCAGAGATGTCACTATGGAAATCATAAGCAAAGAAAGCACACCCTTCCCCATGTATTTGGAGTTTGGGAGAATTAGTCTGAGATGTGTTAGTGTGCTCCTTCTCTCTCACTAAAATTCAGTTCTGCATCTGATCATGGAGAATCATACATCAATCGGTGACTGATCTGCATGTGCTGGATTGGACGGAAAAGATACGTTAATATCTCAATGCAAGATATTCAGCCACTTTCCAAAGTACATTCCACTAACCTTTTATATTTCCTGCATTCATCTGACCTGGTGTATGATGAAAGATCAAAACTGTGATTCCTGATTAGTTAAACTCTGGATGTGGTTGCTCTCCCATGTGAAGTTGTGAAAGATATTATAAATTTCATATGCTTGGAAACTTTGTTTTTCATGGTGAAGCATCATACCTCAGATGCACTGAACTCTCACTTTAAAACTGGGCTAAGTGCGATCTTGTCCCCGTTTTTAGAAATACCTTCTGTTTGTGTAACTTTTTCTAAAAGTACTAATGACTGGTGAATGTTGAATAACAGTTTCTCTTTTGATCCACTGGTTTTACCTCTGTTGTTGCTGTCTAATAAATTTGATTCATTGAGAAGTCATACTCTATGATAAACCACTTGTGAAATACTTTGCAAAGTTAGACAAGAAATCTACTGTCATTTTACCTAGGATATTTCTGAATTTGGGTAGAATATTTCATTTTTATCTTGCATACACCTGTATGCACTAGAACACACCTCTGTGCACACATTTTCCTTCTCTCTATTAAAAACCATATGCAACACCTGAGGAGACATTCCTATCAGTGGAAAAGTTAGGGCACATACAGAATTTTGGAGATGTTTAGGAGTAGTGCTCAGTCACTCTTTAAATTTCAACAGGGACTAAAATAACAAGTTAGGACTCCTAAGGAATGCCCAGAGCAGTGTATCTTCTGAATGAACTGGCTGTCATCTGGATGCCATCTGTTATCCCTCATGATATCTGTGCACTGACCTGAAGATTTCCATGACAGAGAACAAAGATGAGAAAATATCTTTATTAAGCAAATTCAGCTCACCTAAATTAATCATCTTTTTAGTGAAGGAGGTAGATGCACTGTAATTTAAAGTCTGAAAAAAATACATTTACAGATTGTAACAAAAGTATTAACTTAAATGATTTAAAGGTACTTATAATGGTAGAAAATTTTCTCAAGGAAGATTAAAACTGTACAGAAGCAGTGCTAGATAAAACTATAAATTTTCCTGGCTGCATTAAAACCATGTTGAAATATGTCACCTGAATACTTTGCTTGTCTGCATGCCTTTTCTTAGTCAAAAGAGGGTCATGAGATTTGTGTGGGTTTGCATTGCATTCATTTACAGGTTGCATTTTCTATTAAAGATACGGTCAGGAATGGTACCTAGCAAAGCTCTCATGGAACAACAAATTTTACTGAATTCTTTCCATAACATTTCTCAGATAAGATTCTTATTGGTTCAGAATATGATCTTTCTTTTGAAATTCATAGCAAAACAGACTTACAGGTTTAAGTATGCAAAGCGGCACTTTTTAAAAAAGATACTGTTTATTAATCCTGACGGTTTTGATGGGTCAATAAGTACAGCAGAGCTGCATATAGTCAGCACAAATGGGTTCTCTGGAACATGAGCGTTGTAGTCTCTGGACTTGATGTTTACTAGATGATATTTATGGCTTTGTACTCACTCACTCCTCTATAAAGTATTCATCCATTAAGTGCTCATGTTTCCTCATCCTAGAACATGGTTGAGTATATTTCACTTAAAATGTAAGAAAATCTGTGTCTTCCAGGTTTGTTTCAAGCATTCTGAGTGTGGTGCCATGAGAGATGCTGTTGTCCCTGACAGGTTGGGATTATCATGATCAAGTGCTCTATTTTGACTTCACCCAGTGGTTAAAAGATTTGTATGGTAAAGAGGAAGTATTGAACTTTTAAAAACATTAAACAGGTAAGTCTACTGAAGTCAGTTTGCTTATTGACAGTTTCCAGGCTTATTTCAATTGCAGGTGTTTATGGAATCATGTATCACTGACTCTTTCTAGCAGGGTTTCCTCTTAATTATAATCTTAGAGTAGTAGCTGTGACTTGAACCAAAAAAATTGCTACTTTATAAGTGCAATATGATTAGAAATCAGGTTAAAATAAAATTTTAGTCATGTATCTACAAACAGAAGGGAAACACAAAGAACATTTCACTGAATTGTGTTAAGCAGATGTTTATTTCAGCTTGTTAGTCTAGAGCATTTGCACAGTCCTAGTTAAGTGCCAAACAAAAATCTCTATTCCATGAGCACAAATGCAAATGTCCATTGCCATTTCAGTTCTAAGCAGGTCTTTGGTTTTTGCAGTAAGGTGTTTTCTTTACAGAAAGCATGTTTTTGGCATAAAGGGATTGACTTATTTCCCTTAAATTGTGTTAATGGATCTCTGCTACACTCTAGAACTGCACCACTGTGAAAGCAATGGAAAAAAATGTAAATAATTACTTTAGCAGAGCAATTTAGTAGCCAGTATGTAAGTTGTTACATTAAAATAGTTACCTGTATGAAGTTGGGGCCTGAGTGAATATTTATTTCAAGACTAATTTAGCATAATATATTGTTTTGTTATTAGATCCTGAGAATTCCCTTTCGTCTTCAACTAAGATTCCCGGTTTTGTCTAAACAATCTATCTCTTCCTTAGAACAACCTGTAGAAACCAATTAGTCTAACATAAAGAATTGTGTGGTATGAGCACATTTAAACATTACCAAAAATAGGCCTACCTTGTCTGATTTTGATGGATGTTTCACAGAGGTGTTTTTCAAGGATATTTCACAAGAGTGAACTATTTCAGTTTGGTTTTTTTTCTGTTGCTGTAGCTTTACTCTTTTGAAGCCAAAATCTTAGAAACTATACAGCAATATGGCACTCTGGCAAAGAACTAAACTGCTGAATTAAGACTCAATTTGCTGGTATGTAAGTCTCATGCTTATGGCTGTTTAAGGGTGAACATATTCATATTTTCCTTTCTGGCTTGGAAAATGAGTGATATTTTCTTTACCAAGACTATATTCAAAGATGTCTTGGAGTATGTCTGGGGCAGCAATAGATACTGGTGCACAAATTCCAAGCTTATGCCGATGTGAGTGGAACCATACAGATATACAGTTTGGGTCAGGAAGCAGTATAGCAATGTTCAGATGACACTGTACCTTGTGATCCTGACTGTGTGACTTCCAGACATGATCTCATTGGTAAAAGCTAGCCTGCACATAAGTGGAGAAAAGCTATCTTTACATTCTTTTTTCCAGACATTGTTTGGAGTACACTTAGATAGGTGCAGGTCAGATGTATCTGTATATATCATAGCTACACTACCCTTGTGCTTTGCCTGTTTTCACAAATTATTTACAACAGAATTATTTTTGTAACCAGTGGAAAAATACATTTTACTGGCTATTTAGTGCTGCAACTGAATTGTCCTCTGAACTCAAAACTAGTGATTTAAGGAACAGGTTTGTTTTAAATATTTTAATCAGCATAAAATACTGTGCTTTTTAACCTTGAAAAGCTCAGAAAAGAAAGGAGAAAAAAGTGTACCAATAAGTGAAATAAGATGACTAACAGCTTCAAAAATAGTGTGACAGCTCAACATTAAGATTCCCCAATTCTGTATCACAATGCTGATGTAGACCTAGAAAAAATAAATGTTTAAAATGGCATCTTATATTGGTTTGTGTTTCGATCTTCATGTTAGTTTCCTATCAAAACCTCCAGCCTGATAAAGTATTCTTTTCATAGGCCTGTATTTCTTGTGGTATCTTTATTCTGATAATATTCATATAAAGTTGGAATCACTGTTGAATTAGCATTGTTTATGCTTCACTAATATTTATCTCCTTAAGACCCAGATTCTTATCCACTTTTAATAGAATTTTTTTTGTATTATTTAGTTGAAGAGTCAGCTATTAAAAAGACGTCAACAGTGCTATGACTGTCAATTATACTTCTAAACTTAGAGAGTGTGTGGTATGTGGAACATGAGCAAAAAGAAACATGAAATTCTTATTTTTGCCTTTCAGAAAGTATTGCTTTTTCTTTCTGCTATCACTCATATGTAGAAGTATTTTGTGGTCTGTATTATAAAAACTAAATATATTTAAAACATCATTACATTTTTCATCTCAGTAAGGGTTCAAATTTTTCACCATTTGCATCAAAGGATAAACCATGATTCCAGCTGCGTAGCTTTCCATGCTTCTCTGCTGACTGAATAAATGGGCAGAAAATTGGGAGCTTTACAAACAGCTTGTGGGAGGAATCCTTTCTTGAAAGTCTTAAACTGCATTACCAGGCAATAAAAAATGTTTGCTGTCATGATTTCCAAAATTTTTTTTTCCATGATCTACAAAACCTTGACTTCCGACTTCATCCTTAAATTTATTTTTTTGCTATGAACTTGGAAAACCTGCAAGAAGCAGTGGGAAAATGTTACCTGCCAAATCAAGATCTTCCTATTTCCCCCTTAACTTTTTCATAGTGGCACTGTGAATTTGCTATCCTATGAAGGCTCAGCACTTTTTTTAGAGAACAGGGGCAACCCTAGCCACCTAACACACAACTCAGAGACTGTTTTCAGTGCATGAAAGCTTAAATTGACTCCTCAAACAGTTAAAACAAGGCACTTTGTTTACTGTTTTGTGGGGACTCTTTGCAGGGAAAGGTTGTTTTACTTTGGTTTAACAGCAGTAATTGTTAGTGTATGGAAGGTAAAGTCTTTGTCAGGAAATTTCAGTGCTGTTTTTAGACTCTTATGATACGGCTACAAAATGATTCCACCAAGCCTAGCTCAGAATATCTTATTCTGTTTTCAATAAATAGTGTACACCTTTTAAAGTTTCTGCATAATAGAAATTTAAATATAATACTAATATGCATGGCAAACTGAGAATAATTCCATGAGTACTAAAGAAAAATGAAAAACCTTCCAAAAGGTTTTGTTTGTATCATGAAAGTTTTGCATTTACTATTCACAACAAAGCTAAATGCGATATACAAAATACACTGTGCTTTCTGGACAGGCCTGAAGAAAAATACACATTTACTGATCCTATTAGTACACTGGCTCACTGGAAAATGGAGGATGATTTCTTCCACTTCTCTCTGTTCTCTTCTCCTTCTCTTCCCCATTTCAGTCCTTTAACAGAATTTTCTGCTTCTGATAGCTTATGATGTGAGCAAATGGATTGTGGAAACTGCCCTCTGTGGCATCCCTGCCAACTGGGAATAGGTGAGTATGCTGACATGGAAGGGTGTGAAAAGGGCGAGGAGGAGGAGGAGTAACAGGAAGAGAAAGCTACCTTAATGCCTTCCATTAAGGCAATAAATGAAATGGAAAAGTGTAAGGGTAAGGAAGAACTCCACAGTCTGAGGAAAGAAAGCGTTTGCCAAGTCAGAAGATTGTTCCCATCTCCCCACTGTTGAAGGTGGACAAGAAAGTCAGAAGTTATCTCTGAACATGGCCCATGGATATTGCCTTCTCACAGCAGTTGCCCTTGACTGTTGTGGAGTGTGGGCATTGAGGGTGTAAAATAGGCAGAATAAGTGGTGATGGTCTAGCCCAACCTTCCTGAGTACTAAAAAGACAGCTCAGACCTGCTCTTATCTGCTCCGTTAAGGGTCCCACCACACTGATGGGCAGACAAACATAAATTTCATACAGCTTGATCAGCATCATCTGTTAACATGAAAAGGGATGGATAAGGTGGTACTTCCTTAAAACAGAATTGCGCATATTGCAACTGGCCGTTCCTCTGCTTTTACTATGGACTGCCAATCCCATTGGGCCTTTACTGCCCTTAGATTACTTAAATACAACTTTGTGGCCAAATCAGCTCAGAATGGGTCAATATCCAATGCTTGTGCCTCTTAAAACTCATCCCCATACACACTGTTGAAATGAAATCTCATAATCCTGTTCTTCAAATTTATGTTTCAATTAAAAACAATGTCACTTTTTCAGAATTTTATTTCTCTTACTCAGCGTTTATCTCTCAGGTTTTATCCTTGTATTTGTCACTTTATCACCTTATCAATCATTATATTTCAGTTCTCTAGGAAGTTCAGCAGGCCAACAAAGGAAGTCAAATGTACCTAACACCAACATGCTCGCTAATAAAAATAAATGAGTTCCTAGGGAAAGTTAACAAAATTGTTTCATTATAGAGGATCTCTGAAATAGATGGGACAAAGCCATGACAGATAAGGAGAAAGGCTTAGGAAGATCCTGAGTATGTCAACACAAGTATCCTGTTGCTGATAAGAGAAGCTGAAGTCCTGTAACACTCTGACTTCTTCCTGCCACAAAATAAGGTGCAGCTGGAAAGAAGAAAATAATCACATCTTGATCAGGTTAGCAATCAGTGGCCTGAATCTAAGCCTCCTTTTAATACTTTTCTTGAAATGTGTAAACCCTCTGAATGTTCATCAGTTTACAGAAATAGATACATGGAAAAGAAAAAAAGGCAAAAAGAAAGAACCAAATCCATGTCAAGAAAAGTTCAAAGCTATTTGAGTAATTCCTTCTAGTTCCCAACCATTCACTACACAATATGTGTAGATACATATACATTTATATAAAGGTCTCTTTTATTCTTTTTCTCTGAGTATCTTACTTGGATTAGAATACCCTGCCATAAGCACCTTTAAAAAAAGCCCATGCTTTTTTCAAGGACATTTCTGTACATAACAAAGGTTTAGGTTGTAATCTGATGGTCTGGGGATTTTGTCAAAATCAAATGACACTTTGAACTTTCTGTCTTTACAATTCTATGGTTTTACAATTCGGGGTTTGTGTACATTTGCTTTTCTTATTGGCTCATCTGTTGTGACATTGTAAAGAAACTTATAGTTGCACACATCTGAGATCACAAGAGCTTCGTTCTATAATGAGATGGGAATGAACAA